TTTTTTGAAGTTTGATTGTTAATTTGTAGAATCTAACAAGATTACGTAGTGTATACCAAATTGGCCAGTAGTTATATGAATATTATTTGTTTGGTCTGAGTGGTTGTTGAGTAAGTTTGTTGAATTTGGATATTACAGATTGTGAGTTAGTATGTAATAGTTATTCCACGTTTTATCATAGATATCATAAAACATCATGGGCAGCTAGAGATATTATGCGTGATTGCGGTGTAGCCACAATCATGCATGATATCAGAGGCTGATCCATGATGTTTTATGATGTCGATGACAAATATGTAGAATAACTGATTTATCCTCGTAGATTCTAATGCTCATTATTTTTTTATTGTATCTTCATGGCTTTCTTTACAATAAAAAAACCATTCTCAATGAATACTTCAAAATTAATACTGCTTTTCCAGTTTTTAAAACAGCCAAGCAAAGATTAGAAGAAATAAACACAACTATTTCAGTTTCATCTAATAACATTTTAACTGATACGCAAAAAAAAGCTGCATATTATCGTAAAAGGCCAAAAATAAAAATACAGAAAGATTTACAAAAAATTGGATGATGAAATTTGAAGAATTTCGTACTAGCTCTGGATATTTAACCCCTTTAACAAACTTAGATGATGTAAGACAAATCGAAAAAAAAATTGTTGAATACATTTCAGGCATGAAAAAAAAAGATGATAATGATTATAGAGCAAATTCTATTAAACAAGCAGTAGATGCGATTAGCAGATTTTTACTTTATAATTCACCAATTCAAGTTAATTTACATGATCAATATTTATTTCTGGATTTGTATACTGTTTTACATAAAAAAATGCGTGATCTTCAAGAACATGGATTTGGTGAAATCAAGAGATCAATTGCTTTAAATTCACAACAAATTCAAGAAATTTTACAACACTCTAGAATTGATCGTAGCAATCCAGTAAATCTATTATATCATATTTTTATATATTTATCAATTCTTCTTGCAATGCATGGTGGTGAACACTATCAACTTAAGGTTGATCAGTTTAAAATTGATAAGCATGGTGGTTTACAATTTTTCCGTTATACATCTAAAAATAATTAACATGGACTTCAAAAAGGTCAAGTACAAGTTATTTCAATTCCTTTAGATACTGTTGGACTATGCAATGATATAAAATTCTATTTGTCAAAACGACCTTCTGTAGCTGATCCAGAATTTTATTTGCAACCAAGTTCTGACTGGATAGAATCGGGTAATTGGTATAAAAAGAATCATGTAGGAAAAAATAAATTAATGAATTTCATGTGTGAAATTGGACGTATAACACAGATCGATATCCCTATGGAGTTACTTACAAACCATTCTGGGCAAAAAACTGCTGCTCAATGTTTACAAGATAATAATATTCCAGAACAGGCAATTATGCAACTCACAGGACATAGGAGCGTTCAAGGAAGTCATGCTTACAAGCAAGTTAATAAGGATCAACAACTTAATACTTTAAATACTTTGATCAATATTACAGATAGTTTTGCAAATGATAACAATACTAACAATAATAATTCAAGTTCACGAAATCCTCTACAAGAAATTACACACAACATGAATTTTTCAGAAAATAATTTTAATTCTAGCAATAAAAAATTCTTCAAAATGCCAATTTTTAATAATTGTTATTTTATGAATATTACATTTAATATTCAAAAATAGCAAATTCATTAATAAATTAAAATTTTAAAGCTTAGTAAATGTTTATGACAATAACTATGCAATAGTTTGTAAAATTACAATTGTGCAATTATTATATAATAAATACAATTAAAAATTCATAATTCTTAGCTATACAATTTTTAGAGTACTGAATGTTTTTTATTATAATAATATAAATTTAATACCTATTATGATATCAGCCATGAAGATATCAGCCGTGAAGATATCAACTATAAATATATTAAGTATTGTGATATAAGCTATGAAGATATCAGTAAAAAAAATCATGAGTGAACAATTAGAAGCCATGGAATAAAAATAGTAATGTTGCTGTTTCGTGGGCATATGCAAATTGCAGAGAGAATTGCGAGTAGTTTACACTGGTCGAAATCAAAAATATAAACCAAATATCATCAAGCAATCATCTAATCGATAGCTGGCCGATAGTTTG